GCCGTTGCCGCCGCCGCGGGAGGGCGGGATGGAGAGAGCGGCCGGGACGGGGAGCAGCGCCATGGCCGAGAAATACGACGTGGTCGTGGTCGGGGGCGGCATCTCAGGTGGGTCCGGCGCGGCCAGCGAGCGTCCGCCGGCCTTTGCCGGGGTATCAGCCCGGGAACGGTCCCAGACGGAGCCCGTCGTGCGGCGGGGACGGCACCGGTGCTCGGGGCCGGGGTGCTGCCGGCTGGGCTGCGTGGGGCCTGGGAGCGGCGGGGCCGGGGGTGGCTCGGCCCCGCGGCTGGGCGTAAGGCGTGGGCGGTGGTTAACGGGGGTGTCAGGTCTGCAGGGGCTTCAGATACACCTGGGGGGGGGGAAGGGAAAAATGATCCGGGTCGATGTTTTAGGATGTATTTGCTGCTTCTTGCCTTGGTTTGTACTTCGTGCTCGTCAGAAGAGAGTCTGTGGGAAAACTGAGTTTTATCGCGTCCACAGGTGCAGGAGAATGCAGGGGGAGAGGCTGGGATTTTCACATCCTGGGAAAGACGGGATTTTGAAGTTGTGGGTTTTTAGGATGCTCTTGCAGTGCTGGCAATTGTATTCTTTTGATAAATACTGCAGAAAACCAGGTGGGAATATCTGTAAAAACAGGTGGGGTTTTGTTACTAGGAGAAGTGCCGTACGACAGACAGCCAAATTCCACTCCTGCGATGGACTCTTCACACTCTACTAGGAAATACTTCCCAAAATACTCTTCAGATCTACTTTAAAACTAGCAAGTGCATTGTGGCCCCTGATCCTCACGCTTAAAAAAACAGAAGTAATTGCTCTTATGGCACCTGACAGTACCTAAGATGAGAATGTTGCCACATTGGAGAAAATCTGTGTTTGTTGTGTCCATCAGATAAATACTGTTTTAGCAGCTTTGGCCCTGTTTCAGTTTTCAGGGAGTCTTTACTTCACTAGTGATTCAGAAAAGGTGAGTTATGTGACTGAGTGACTTCAGTGATACTACAGCCATTATTGCTATAGGTAAAATTAATTTTCATTAGAATTGAGGAAGAGTCAGAGGCGTTCATTTCTTTAATCTGCAATGAATTAATGCACAAAACAGCAAATTGTTTACTTAATTACCTTATTTCATTTGCTAAAACAACAGTAATTGTTTAAACAATTATTTGTGGCAATGTAGTTATATAAATAATCTGTGGTATCACTGAACAGAAAGAGTTTGGACCTAGTTGTGCTTGCTTTTTAGTTTTACCAGATGCCTGGGTATTCTCCTGCTAGCACGAGTCATTTGGTCTTCGTCCTTAAGGTTGCTGTAATGCACAGAGTGCCCTTAGGGAATTACCGCCCCTACTGTGTGCAGCTGATGGTGATGTGATCTTAATAGGGTTTTTAGGGCTCTGAGAAGCATTTCTTCTCTTGAGGGTACCTTGCTCCTCCAGCTTTCCAACCTGTAGCAGTTTTTGGAAAATGCATCGAGCATTTCTAAGTGGTATCTTGTCTCACTAGTGCAAGAATCAGTAAGTTACTTCAGAACATTTACGCCTTGGATTAAAGCCTGATGTAGAGTCTGAAATGGAGCCAAGCAGGAAATTTCAAGGCGTTACAGTCCCTGAAAATTTGTCAGTGGCATTAGGAAGACAAATAAATGTCACAGCACTCTTGTGGTACAGGAACATTTTTTTGGCCAGTTGTAACCCTTATGTCATGCCAGTGGCGTAGAAATCGGTGTTTGCCTGTTATATATTAGAACAGGCATCGTTTTGAGAAAGCAACCTTAGAAAAATGGACAATAAATACTTTATTTCATAATTAATCCATTTTTAATATACAATACCATTCATAGCTGGGCACAATAATTCCTATCAGCTCCTGGTTTGTTTTGCTTTTCACACAGCTTCTCTGTCGCTGCCAATCCTGTAGCAATATACCTACACCTCAGTTCTGTAAGAGGTTAGACAGTGCTGCTTTCTGGTCTTAAAAAAGGTCATCTGTATCTGAATTTTGGTTCTGGTGAGATAAATAGTAAAACATGCTCTAGGATGGACAGGGTTTCCCCTCAACATCTCTCTAACTCCAGTCTTGACTTGCTGCTGCTTATTTGTCTGAAGATATAGGTGCAGTTGCCTCATCTGGTAAGATTACTGTCTTCTCTCCTTCTACTGTATTTTAAATACTCATTACCTGATGCTTGCAAGAAAGGATGGGAAACTTTGGGATAAACTAGTTCTTTACTAGAAATACATGAAATGTATATCAGATACAAGCAAGCTGCTTGTTATATTAAGTGGGAGCTTCCCAGCAGTGAGACCGTGGCTTTTTAAAATATTTGTGCAGTATTTGCGAAATGAAGCTCAAATCCTGACTGGCACCTCTGGATTTATCTGTTCCTCAAAGTGAAGCATGGATTTGAGAGCCAGTTTCTGTACAACCTAACACACTTCTCTCATCCATGCTCCTGATCTCTCCGTATGGACACATCTGTATGTGGTCATTCACAGGGACACAGAATCGACTCTGCCTGTAGGAAGCTGCAATCTAGGGATGGAGGGAGCTTCTGCAAAGAGTGCTTCACAGTGGGGAAGCTCTTGGAAGAAGAAGTCAGCTCTGGTGGCCTCTATCGCTGAGATTTTCCTGCTGTACCCTGTGGAATCATGTTCAAACTGTCCAGACTGCATCAGCAAGTACATTTGGACCCCTACAGAGAGGGAGCTGCAGAGCTTTTTTCACATGGGCGTGCATGTTAAAAATGTGGATCATGGCCAGGAAAGGCCCCAGGCACATGTTTGTATCATTCTTAATGGATAATGTCCCCTGTAATACAGTTAATATTAATTATAAGATTTTATACTCAAGCATATTAAATAAACTGATGCCTGAAGTTAAAGACTTTCCCTATACCCGCAGGGAGTTCTTATTTATATGCCTTGAATATTGCTCCCATTTTCTATTAATAGGGTTTTCTACTGAACTGAAGAAGGTGTTCTGGTTTGAATTGATTTTGACCTTTTGCTTGTGCATTTTGGTTTAGGCTATGCAATTCCCTCATTTGTTAAACACAGCAGGCTGAGAGCACACGACGTGCCATGGATGCATGTCTGATTAATCGGCAGGGTCATAACCCTGACATCCCATCAGACAGTCCTCTGCTGCTTGGGTTAAGGGGCTACCACTAGTTGAGGACTAGGAGATTGTCATCATCTGTGTGGACTAACAGCTGTATTGATGGCTTCTGGAAGTTGTCCCTTTTATGCAGCAAGTCACTGCCATACCTCTCTTGACACATTGTCCCCATCCCAGCTCCATTACCTGCTCCGCAAGCTAAGGCTGCAATTACAGGGTAATTCAGATTTTGGTGCCATGGCCCTAGGATGCAGCGTGCACGGGTGCTCTGAGGTATGAGATGGGTTGTCAGGAGGTCTGGGATGCTCAGTCACTCTTTGGGGACTGAGTGTTAACGACTGGACAGCATTCAGTGCTTGGAGATTTTTGACAGAAACTGCAGATATTTCAGCTTGTCAGATAGAAGATGGCTGCTGCCTACGTGTGACCTGTAATTCCTCAAAATTTTCCAACTGACCTTATTGGGGCATAATTTTACATGGATAACAAAATGTGCTGTTGACTCAAAGGCTACCTCCTTGCCAAATTTCAAGATGCTGCTAGAACTACCAAAATAGGAATAAAAAAAAGCCGTGAGTTTTCAAAATCAGATAATGTTTGTTTCCTGGAGGTTTAGAAATAGCCAGCCAATTTTGACAAAGATTTTCCAGCAAAAAAGAGTCAGCCTGAAAAACACACCCTGAAAATTCAAGCTTAAATAGTTCAAAATTTGGCAAAAAAAGAGTAAACAAAATACCCTAACTTTTTTCAGCGGGAAGTTTGGGGTATATTTTTGTGCTAGCCTGACCTTACACGTGAATTTTGGACACTGGAAGCCAAGTTTATCAAAAGAAGGCATGGAGAATTAAGAATGTTTGTCTACATAATGGAAACCAGAGATGCATCAGATATGGAGAAGTATGTCCAGAAGCAGGCAAGTCCAAGAAAACTTGTATGCAAATATCTTTTGGAAGAAATTTCAACACATCGTGTTACAAGCACAAAGCACAAGGGAAACACAGCCGTAATTGAAACTTAAACTGACGATTATCATTCTTTGACATGGATAGTTCTTATTTCCACGTAAAAATATGTTTGTTCTTCGGTAGAAACAAGGAGATCTCATGGGTCAACAAAACGGATGCTTAGATTTGCCAGCCGCATGAAGAAAACAGCACTGTCTTCTATTGCACTTATGGAGGAGTCCAACAGCTACAAATTGTAGGAGAAGCTGGGATGTAAAAATAATAGTAATTAGTCTTTATATTGAAATAAAACATACGATACACTATTAAGGCTTTTTTTTTTCTCTCTCCATGGAAGAGCGCTATGTGTTGGCATCTCCTGCGCCACGGTGTGTGATCGACAACCTTACCACTTGAGCTACCTACGCGTTGGCTGTGGTCTCTGAGTGAAAGACCGAATAATGAGGAAATGCAGATTTTTCTTGCTTGCTATGATGGGAGCACAACTTATGTTGTATACTGCTCTGTTTGTTTTGACAGCATGCCAAGCTGCTGGTGGGTGGTAGTGTCAGATAAACTGTCAAATACACAGTTACTGGTAGAAGATATAATCAGTCCCACCTGTGTAAATCTGGAGTAGTTTTCAGTAGATTTTTTGTTTTCTAGTGTTACTTCTAAATTTACCTAGAATTTGATCTGTAGGAATGCAATAGCTGGTTCCTAAAACATATCCTGCATTTATCTCTTTACATCTGCCCTGTGCTGGGCTCCGGCTACCCAGTTACTTCCAAGTTTCTTTCTGGATCCAACAGGAAAGCTGATAATCAGTGATAGTATTGTCCCTTAGTACCAGAAATTCCTAAAGGCCATTTTTGGGGATGCAGAAATAAACAGCAATGTTCCACAGAGCTCTCGGTTCCCCAGGTACTGCTAGCAAGCTGACTGTCATTATGAGAAAAATTTACAGCAGGAACAAAACTATCAGATCCCCATATAAAGTGTAATGGATGTTTTATACAATACTTGCAAATAAGCAGAAAATGCTA